CAGCGACCTCGGCTGGGCTGCCCTGCCCTGAGCCTTGTCCGCAGCCTCCCCTTCCCGAGAGAGACGGGCTTACCTGTGCCCGAGCAGGGACAGCAGACCTGCCCTCGGGCCGTCTGCCTTTACAGACTTTAGTCTTTCGTCTCAAGTGGGATGCTGGTGCTTCCAGTTCTGATCTCTTGTGGGTGGAATTCGGTGAAAATGTAATTGCAGAGTAACATTAAAGAGGGTACACTCAGCTAATGTGGAAATCTGTTTACCAAATTTCCAAAGTGGGTTGCTGCAAGTGGTTAATAACTGCTGTATTGTGGATTATGAGTTTTTATGATTTCAATCTCCTAAACACATAGGATTAAATGTATATTAAATCACTCTGTCAGTTTCTACTGTACATTGTCTTATAGGGACTGTGTATTTGGAATGAAGTACTTGCTCTGCTGATTATGCTAAGCACCCATCTTACAAAACACAAGTTAAAGGATAACTTAGTTCCCACTGTTTGTTTTGGTTTTTTTTTTTTTTCAGTTCACTCTGTTCTGGAAGGTGTTGTATGAAAAGTACCTTCCAGTGATCTGAGAAGAGGTTTACCAATAAAGACATGAATTGAGACTTCATATCATTCTAGCGAGTTTCGTAATGCTTTTATTTTTATACTCTGAATAATACTTTGTTACAGAAAAGCTGAAATCTAGGCTAAAAGTCATGTTCATATTTAGGCTGCAGTTGATGTGAAGAGTAGGAGGCAGCCCAGAGCCTGTGTTGCATAAGGAGTCATGAGACCTTAAGATAGGAAGTGGGGAAGGCTGATTAGAATTCTGAAGTGACTTGTGTAAGGTACAAGGTATTGGTAATGCCTACTTTGATGTATGGAGTTTGCAACAGCTGTGGCTGAAATTCTCTTGGCTTTGTTTCCCATCCCTTTCCGTCACAGGACTTAGTGCTGTAATGAAATAAACATGCAGATTTGAAAGTTCTTATCCTTTGAGATCTTGACTCTTTGCAGTTCCCAACCATATGAAAATGTAGCCATCAAAGAAATTTAAATCTGAAAGTATCATAGAGTTCTTCTTGAACTAGTATTTTTGTATTTCTTTCCCTATGTACCAATAAAAATCATTTTGCGTGCCCCACATAATATTATCCTGAAACTAAAGTGAATATATCTTATAATTTGAAACAATGTTTGTATTTCTAAAGTCAACATACATAAAGATCCTTTCAACAGGTCTGATTGACTGCCCTTGCAGGAGATACTGTGTTTCCACAAAACTCTCTTAAATTTTTGGATAGGTTTATTTTCAAGAAGCTAATTGTGATTTGTAGCTACTTTATTTGTAGGAGCCTTAGGTGTTAATACTGTAGGAAAAAATAGTTTTCAGACAATAGTAAAGCATGTTGATTTGAAATGGGTTCTGTTATCTTTACAAACCTTTGTTCTTCTCTGTATGCATATTTTAAAACTACTATGTATTCTCTGATACGGTCTCCTTGGCAAGAGTTATTTTTCTTCTTGTCTCCATTGCCACCTTAATTTATAGAACTTTATAAGGGGGGAGGAGGGGTGTTAGTAGAGGACGAGTTAGCTAAACTGTGGGGACTGCACCAGGATAAAACTGTGGATGCTTCTGGCAGAATGGTGGAAAAAGGTAGGATGGTATAGGTGGAAAGCACAGATATATGTCAGTTTAATGCAACATGTAACTGTGGATTTAGTGTTAACTGCTCGTGATCTGTGACACTCAGGTATTTGTGCTCGTTGTGTTGCAACCTCTTCCTTGTTCTTCTTTCTTTCTGACTTTTATTCTGTTCTTTGATATCTGTTACAAACATTGCCCTCACCCTGAATAGTTAATAAATAAGCTTCAGAAAAAGCTAACACCTGCAACCATAGTTCTGATCAGTCGACTTATAGTACATTCCTTTTGTTTAGTTTAGACATAGTTTCTTCTCTTACTGCATGTTTTATACAATACTCAGCAAAATAGGACTGTTGCCTCAGTGGAACACATGAACTCATATGTAATACAGATAAATTCTTTTTAAGAAAGTGGGAATACACTCAAAGGGTTGTGGGGTGTTATGGTCACAGTGCAAAACAGGTGTTTCTTGAAAATTTTTTTGGAGTGATTATTTTTTCAGGTTTGGGTTTAGTCCTGCTTTATCAGGTGCTGCAGTTCTATTTAGCCAATGAGGATGCTTAACTTAGACTAGGTACACAAGGGAGGTGAAAGGGATGAGTACTGCTGTGTTGGGTAACTTCTTTAAAGACGATAATTATGCTAATCAAAAAATGTTCTGGTTTACTATCCTTTGCACAGGACACTTATTGACAGTAGGACTTCTTAGGGCTTCTCTTAATCCTAGTCCTTCAGTGATTTGCAGGTCTAGAATGATGACTATTCAGGTGCTCCTACCTGTGTTATTCTTGGTAGTTCTTCCAGACCCGTGGTAGTCACAGGCACCCTCTTCTTATCTCTGGTGTTTGACTATAGCTGTTTCACTGACTCCATCCTTGTGTCCACATTACCACCTTCTTCCTCTTCTTTCTTCTCCCTCATTATTTTCCAGCGACTGCTTTGTGATATCTCTTCCTCTAGTTCTTTTTTTTTTTTTTTTCTCCTTGCCCTCCTCATCCCTAAAAGTTGCATGGCATGCTTGCATAGACTTAAATATTGCCTAGACAAAGAGGGGACTGTACTGAAGCTTAAGTCATGGTTAAGGCTAGTCACTTTCTATTTTTCTTCAAGTGAGATACCAAATTTTAACAAGTAGTATTCCTATATGTTATGTGACTTTCACTCCCCTTGAGTAGCCCTAGCTACAGTGCTGTGCTGATATAGTTAGCCCATCTATGATTTCTGTGGCTAGTTCCAGAAATGTATGCCATTTTTGTGTATACTCATTTGTATGTCATGTGACACATACCTGCTGATCAGATATGCACGTTAGGTGGCTTATAGGTGTAAAGGTTTTTAATACCTTAATATTGACTGTTTCTGCTTTCAGAAACCAGATGCCTTGACCACTGGTTCTGGGAACCCAGTAGGGGATAAGCTTAATATCCTGACAGTAGGGCCACGTGGGCCTCTTCTTGTTCAAGATGTTGTTTTCACTGATGAGATGGCTCATTTTGACAGAGAGAGGATTCCTGAAAGAGTTGTACATGCAAAAGGAGGAGGTATGTTTTAAAAACACCTATTTTTTTTTTCCTCTGTGGAGAATTGGGCCGTGGAAAACCTTAGAGTTAATTGACTGATAATTACATATGAACAGCAGTGAGGAGAAAAAGAAGTAAGGCTCGCTTTAGAAGAACTACCTTTGGGATCTTGTATCCAGAGGTAGATGGATCAAGCGTTGAAGATAAGCAATGAAAACCTTTGATGTTGTAACTGAGGAAGTCTTAGTACATGGTTAATATACTGCAAACTTGCCATTCTTGATATAATTTAAACCAGTCTTCACCTTTATGCCAATGGTCAATGCCAAAACTCGATGCACTGAAAAGTTTTTCTATATCATCAATTGTATATACATTGTCTGTATCATTTGTTGTATCTATCAAAGCAAGAATATGTCCAAAGTTAAACAACCCCCCAATACATGAAAAAAACGGAACTCAATTAAAATTTTTTTGTTGATCCCTGTAGAATAGAACTGGCACCTCTGTTATAATTGCTCTAGAACAAGAAAACATGAGACTAAATCTTATTGTAATGTGAGTGTAAGGGAAGCGTTCCATTGTGGGGATGGGAAAAACTTTGTTGCTTCATCTGGCTTAAAGATGAACCAAGTGTATTGTTGGTGACCAGCAATACTGCAACACCGATCAAGATTAAAGGAGTATGTGTTTTGGTCTGAGATAAGCATGGAAAAACTGGTCAGAAGAGCCAATTTGTGTTATTTCTCTCAGAACTGAGGTCTATTACTTTCTGAAACTGTGGACAGTCAGTTAAGGATGGGGAGGGGGAGGACTGTACAACCAGTGCTTTCTCTGTTGAGTATATGTCATTTAGTGAAAATTAAATATGAAATGTTTTAATGCATGGACTCTGTTTAAATTCATGTATTTCCATGTTTCCTTTTGACTAAAAGTTATGTTTGACCGTAATGGAATAACAGAGGTGCTCTAAGTGAACAGGAAGTATCTAGATCTTATATTTTTAAATCACTCTTTTGCAGGAGCCTTTGGCTATTTTGAAGTGACTCATGATATTACCAAATACTGTAAGGCAAAAGTGTTTGAACACATTGGAAAGAGAACTCCAATTGCTATACGATTCTCCACTGTTGGTAAGACTCTAGACTTACTTTTTATCTTCTTACATGTGTATCATAATGAAAATTGATATTAATATTTCTACATTATGGGACATCTGTCTTGCACTTAAGATAGTTTGATATATTTTCTGCCAAGTAAATCATCTTCTGTGAATTTCATTTAAATTATAAAACCTTAAGTAATATTGAGCAACTTCTGCTTCTTTGTGCAAGAGCTCTCTGTAGACATTTTCCCTTCCAGAATGTGAGAGAAAGGGCAGCCTGAGCTATTTTTGGTTCTGAGGAAAGCCTGCTTTATTTCTGGATGAACAGTGATCAGTGCTTGCATGCTGCAGTTGTGCCCTTGAAAATTAAAGGCCTGTTATTTTTTACCTTGTAGGAATGGTTTAGTGATGAATGCTCTAAGAAAGTACAATGGCAATGAAGAATAGAGTGTTCCAAAAGACTTCTTTCCTTTCCTAAAGAGCTGAATGCATTAAATGGCAAAACCTTAAATGATGTTAGGTGAAATGTACATTATGACCAATACTTTGTACATGGTAACATATCTTTTAAAATGCATTCTGTCTGTATTTAAAAGCAAAGAACTCTTATTGAGGGTTCAGTTCTGGTAGGAGTATTTTAAAAAAAAGTTGCACATGGCTCAAGGAGCTGCAGTTTTCAGTCTAACTGGTATTTCCCTGTGTAACCAGAACTTAAGGGGTCATGGTATGTTTCTATGTAGGAAAGACATGCAGCTGAGTTCATTGTGTGAACTGTGTGCTATAGCAGGCTGTTGCATCTTATTACCTTTCCTTTCCCTGCTCTGTTGGAACGTGTTTCTTCCTAGCTGTTTTATAGTACACAGAATGTTTTTTATGAAAAAATGAGCGTCCCTAGTTATTTCACCGTGACAATTAGCATGAGCTGTTCCTCAATACTTCTAGAACACTTTTGCTCAGGTATTAGGGTAGGCATTTTTGCTCTGGTATAAAGTTATTCACTGGAACAATTGTTTTGGAGTTGTAGGAGGGGAATTGAAAGGGTTGCAACCCTTACTGTTGTAAGGTGACTCTTTTAAAGCACGCCATTTATGTAACTGCCTTCCAGATAAGAGCTTCCACATTGGAAATTGCATGTTAATTAGCAGGCTTTACCTTCTGTGTTTTAGTCAATACAGCCAATTCAGTGTTGTCTCTGCTAATGATAATGCAAATACCACTCAATTGGTTGAAGCAGATGTACCTGGCTTTTTCTTTTCCTTCTAATGCTTGTGTATATATGTTCATGTGTTTCTTCAAGCTGGAGAGTCTGGATCAGCTGATACAGTTCGTGACCCTCGAGGCTTTGCAATGAAATTCTATACAGAGGAGGGTAATTGGGATCTCGTGGGAAATAATACTCCTATTTTCTTTATTCGGGATGCAATGCTGGTGAGTAAGCACCTAAGATGAGAATAACTTGTGAAGAGTGCAAAAGTTCATTCACACCTCTCTGTTGCTTCACTGAGAAGCAAAAACTGTTGTTTTGACATGCTTTAAGTCTGTTGTTCAATAGATGTTCCAAGTGTTTTGGTCTTGACAATTTTTTTAGAACTAATGCTTGATTACTTAAGTTTTTCATTCTGCAAATAGCTGCTCTGTTGTGGTGTGTGTGCTAGCAAGTAACTTCATTCTCCTTGTTCTTCATGTCTCTGTTTCAGGTCTGATCAATTTCACTAGTGCTGGAATTAGCCTTTTTTACTCTAGACTTTAATTCTTAAGTTATTTTTAAGTTTAAAAAAAAAAAAGCCTGTAGGAACTTTTTAAATGAAATCTAATAATTTTTTTTTCCTATTAGCACAAGTTTGACTATGCTTTGTATATGTTAATAGAGGGACTTTTCTTTAGAGTGGAGCTGCACTATATAGGTATTTCTTAATATTTCTGTGCTCATTTAGGAGTCACTTACTCGGTTGAGTTCATATATCCAGATTCAGAAGGATTTACCTCTCATTTCATCTGTCAGAAATTGAAAGCTTTCTTTGGCTCTCAACAGACTATTATGTATTTCACTTTCACAGTCTAACCAGCAAAATTATAGAACTGAATTTGGTTCCAAGAGGCAAACAATGCAAACGTTTGTAGATGATGCAAAACTTGTGGTCTTACTGCTTTGTCTCATCTTTGCAGTTTGTTGTCCCTTTGGTAGGTTAAAGGGTATTTAAATAAACTGTTGTGCCTTATTGTGTCAGAAGTTGCTCGGTATACTCCAGGAGGTGTTACCAAAGTTAACTTTTTTTTTTTTCAAACTTCTGGACAAACTAGTTTCCATCCTTCATCCATAGTCAAAAGAGGAACCCTCAGACTCATTTGAAGGATCCAGATATGATGTGGGACTTCTGGAATCTTCGCCCTGAGTCTCTGCATCAAGTAAAGTTCTTTCTTGAATTCATTTTCTATGCTTAAGAAAACCATAAGTTATGTGAATGCCTATGTTTGTGTGTGTGTGTGCTTTTTTTTTTTTCTATCTCAGTTTCATGTTTCATCTAGAAATCCACATGATCTTTTAGGAACAGTAAAGGCCAAAGGTTTACAATAGCTTCTAAGGCTGTTAGTTACTTTTCTAGTTTTACATTTTTTTCCTTTATTGACTATCTAAAATATGTAGGATTCTTTTTTTTCATGATTATGCTTTATATAGGAATGAAGGTTTAGTTTTATAATAATAAAGCAGTGGAAATACTGATTAACAACAGTGTATGTATATTTAATGTTGAAGAGCAAAATAGTGGGAACGTGATGCTGTTGCATCTAAGTTTATGTAAAGCTGTATACTGCTTAATACATTAGTTCAACTCCAAAAAGGACCAGAATGCACAATGCCTTCTAATTTTTCTATTTACATATTTCAATTCTTCAGGTAGTGTAAAACTAAAAATAGTTGTGGTGGTGGTGTTTTAAATGCTTACGCAGAGCCTTTGTCAATAATTACTAATTGGAAAAAGAAGCACCACAAGTTTTGTGTGTGAGGTAAACCTGAAGAAAAGCAACATTTTCAGTAGCTTTGTATGATTGTATGTTTAGTGCCTAAAGAACTTAATTAAGAGCTAGTTGTTTGGGATTTTAATTTTCAGATTTTGTCTTTAACCTGAAAAAACTGTCATATTTTTATCTGTAACTTAGCTTTCCTTATAGGCTGCCCTTTCCTTATAGGGGAAGTTGTAACATTATCCCCAGGTTAATGTCTTGCACTTCCCTGAATACTTCGCAGGGAGATAATGCTTTACATAAGTTTAATTCACATCCTTACTAGATGTGCATCATCTAAGGTGTCTTGGATCATTAAAAATGTTAGAAACTTTTCAAACTAGAAATTCCTTCCAGGAAGTCATAGCTTTAAAATCACTTTCAGTGATGCAGATTAAATTAATAAATGTACTTTGTTTGAATGGTCACTTTTTTCCTTGAACTCGAGATTCAATTAATATTGTTGGATCCTTCTCTTTAGCTGACTTTCATGTTCAGTGATCGTGGTATTCCTGATGGATTTCGCCATATGAATGGATATGGGTCACATACATTTAAACTGATTAATGCTAACGGAAAAGCAGTTTACTGCAAATTCCATGCAAAGGTATTGATTTTTGCTTTTACCTTTTGGAAGTATACATCATATTGGGTTTAAAAAAAAAAAAAGTCTAAAGGTTATATGAGGAAGTCTTGTAACTTGTTAAGTCTAATTCTGAAAAGACTAGTTAGTGAGCAGTCTGTATTTGTTAAGCAACTGATATTAAAAAAAAAATTGCATGCACCTTTTAAATGCAAAGGATCTCATTGTTCTTGCTCTGACATGGTGGATATTTACTGAGCTATGAGAAACTCTTCCTTGGGGGACTGTTTGCTGTTACTTGGAGAACAAGTGGGCTCGTGTGTCTCATTCGTTCCTCCTTTTACGTTCATGGCTACACAGTAGTTCAGATTCAACAGGTGGTACTTTAGCTAGAAGTTCTCTCAAGTCTAGGCTCTATTTTTGTTCCTGTTTGCTTGCTGGAGATCAATTGCATTGGTATAGCAGTGGTTTCGAGGCGGCCTCAACTGTTATGTCGAATCAAACTAAAGTATATAGAAATTCTCTGGTTCTGGGAGCTCTGGGATACGGAAGCTCACGTAACTCCCACACTTCTGTCAAAGCAGTCTCAATGCAGCACATCTCACTTGGTGAAAAATTCTCCTCAGAATTTTAGAGACAATGCTCATTCTTATCTCTTCAGACTTTGGCTAGTGGAGCCTGGACATTTACCTCTGAAACAAAGGCTTTAGAAACCATCATATTAAACTAACAGGTTTTGTACGGGAGCTTTAAGCCTTTGAGTTGCCTGAAGGTTATGAAAATGAGATTTTTCGATAGTGCTAAAGATGCCACAGGGGAAAAAAAGAAGAGGTGGGAGGTTGGGATGCTTTAGGAGTACTCCGTAGCTTAATGAGAGAAAAGAAACCTCTTCTTCACTTGATGTGCTGCAGGGATCATAATTTCCTTTCCAATGTTTTATGTTGTGGTATAACATGACACATATTTCCCTTCTATCAGAGAACTTTTTTAACCCAGGAGGCAGCTGTTGAATGTACTATTATTCTAAACTCAAATTATTGGAGAATGGAAGGTGGACCATCCTAGATCTTAAGTCTGTTTAATACACATCTCTTATCAATGATTTCTGAAACACTTTATGCATGTTGTAACTGGTGTTGCTGTTCTTATTGTACTTAGACTGATCAGGGCATCAAAAACCTTTCTGTTGAAGAAGCAGGAAGATTGGCTTCTACTGATCCTGATTATGGAATACGTGATCTTTACAATGCCATTGCCAAGGGAAACTATCCATCCTGGTCTTTCTACATTCAAGTTATGACATTTGAGGAAGCAGAGAAGTTTCCATTTAATCCTTTTGATTTAACTAAGGTATTTCTGCTGTTGTTTTGAGTACTCCAATTTCAGCTTCTTTAAGAGAGGTCATGAATTCAAAATGTAGGAAATGTCAGAACTGAGCTCATTCCCTACATAAGAAAGGGTAATAAGATCCATGACATAACACTGTTTTCCTAAGTTTCAGTCTAGTGCCTTAACAGAGAAAAGTTAGTGCTTTCTTTTTATTCCTCCCTCTTCCTTTAAGTGTACTGCTCGTTATTTGGCCAGGATGAGTCAGAAACCTTGGAGACGAAATTATGTGCTTGTTAAACATATCAGACAAGAATTTAATGGATTAAACCTCTACTGGAATTTAAAATACCCTTTTTTTCTCAGTTACTTAATCTAGAAAGCTGCGGAAGAGACCCTATTCTGTGGCCTTATATGAAATTTTCTGTCACTCTTCCTCAGTGAAATACAAATTCAGGTCTGTAGACTGTGACTGCACTGCATCTCAAAAGTGTGATTTCAGATTATACAGTCACACCCTGAACAAGTTAAGCGTTGTTGATTGTGTAGCATCTGACATCGGTCTAATTTTATGTCAGACTTCCAACTGCTGTTTCAAAGAATGGCACGTTGGAAGATAATAACATAAGCTTGTATTTGCACCTCCGAATCTTGCTTCCCCAAAAGTGGCTAAATATTTTCTAGACTTGAAAGTTCAGACTAAGATGGCAAAGAAAAGGCTAGTGAAGCTGGTTATGTTTTGAAATAGCTGAAAACAGTTCATGCTACCAGTTCCACCTACAACATTGCATTCTTAGGCAGTTTTTCAAGTGCCTGTGGCTATTTCATTTAAGGATTCAAGTGCTAAGATTATGCTGCGATGATGAAAACAACTGCATAAATGCTCTGTATGAATTGCAAAAGGCTTTTTAAAGTGCGACTCTCCTCAAAATGTTCATTACCAAAAGAAAAACTATTTCACTAAGGTATTTTCTCAGTCAGGAATTTCTAGGCAGCTTTAGCTTTTTTAAAAATACATAATACTAAAATAAGTTTGTGGTGTGTTTTTTTTTTTATGCACGTGTGTTATGTCTTACAGGTTTGGCCTCATGGTGATTACCCTCTCATCCCTGTGGGAAAACTTGTCCTAAACAGGAATCCTGTCAATTACTTTGCAGAGGTGGAACAAATAGCATTTGATCCTAGCAACATGCCACCTGGTATTGAACCTAGCCCTGACAAAATGCTGCAGGTAAAATAGAATGCATATGATTTTCAGACAGAATTTTACATTTCTTTTGCTGTTCGTGAAAGCATCATATCACTAGAACAATAGTAAAATAGCCTGACAGACAGAAAGCAACTGATTTTTGGTGTTTTTTTTAAATCATCACCATTTGTTGACGTGCCCATCCAACATTTAAATATAAAGGGAGTGGGGAAACAACTGAGAGAACAGAAAATCTAAACTGATGTGAAATTTACTAGTGTGACTGACAAGAAGTACTGGATAAAACTGTATCAATGTTGTAGAGTATTTTTTTTAGTTTTACCCTATATCTTAGTGTGGTTGCAGACTGCTTTATGGAGGTGAGAGGAGGACTTCAAATGCTATGAAATACAGATGTAACTAATCTCTGATTATAAAATGTGAGACTATTCTTTAGAAGTAATACTGCAGACTTCTTACAGATAAAAGTGGACTAGTAAGACTGCAGTGGACTACACTGGCTGATGTTTAGGTTATAAACAGGTTGTTGGTGCTTCAAAGGATAGCCACAGTAACAAAGTATTTTAATGCTTTTAAGTGGATAAACACTTTAACCATTGTGCAGTTCTTCTGTATTGCCTCTCTTCACAAGCTGGATGATGGTAGTTAGAATCAGTCTGTTGTCTTGGTATCCAGATGTCTCCAGAACAACTGCTTCAGATTCAAGTCATCAAGCAGTGGACTATCATATTTCAGACTTAATCGATTTTCAAATCTAGATTTGAAAATAAACAAAAATACCCCTTCCTTGGTAGTAATCAGCACTTCTGTGGCCTTTTTCATCTCTGCCTGTGTAACCATTTCCTTGCTTCAGAATAGTCTTAGAATTCTGGAGCAGGTCTTGTTTGCAATTGGTAGGAAAGGTCAGGCTGTGTAAATGTAACACAACATGCTATTCTTCCCTGATGCTTCCAACAAAGTTGACTTGAGCCTGAGTGTTTTTCAGGCTCCTCTTGGAAATTATTTGAAGTGTGTCAAAAATACATGCAGACGAACCGCTGCCTTTTCCCTTTTTACTTAATGTATTTTGCTTTGAATGTGAATATGCCACTTAAGTGATCTCTTTCAGCAAGTAGCAATTAATATTTGTGACACATTTTTTAGGGTCGTCTTTTTGCATATCCTGACACTCACAGACACCGCTTGGGAGCTAACTATCTACAAATTCCCGTGAATTGTCCCTTCAGAACTCGTGTGGCCAATTATCAGAGGGATGGACCAATGTGTGTGTCTGACAACCAAGGTATTAATGAAATACTATTAAATATAATGTTGATACTTATGCATATACTGCAGACTTTTTTGTTGTTTGCAGGGGAATTAAGATAATTATTGGAAAGATAGCTTTACTGGTTATTACTAAGTGCTTATACTGTGAGAAGTGTTACTATTTCTCTTCAGTCTTTCAGTATTACTTGTGAATTTTTCCCCAAACTCATTACTCTCTATTTTCTGGGCTTAAGACTTCCTAGTCTATCTGTTTCCTTTTATTTGAAAACTCCATACTTCTGATAATCTTTGTCAACCTTTCAGTACTTTTTCTTATGCTACTGGATCCTTTCTGAGATGAGTTGACCAGAACTGCACTTTTGCAAATCCACCATATGCACTTTTCTGTAGAGTGCCCTAAGTTTGACACTCTTAAAACTCTCTTTACTTTCTGATTGCTGGTGAAAACTGAGTTAACTTACTTTAAACTATCCAAGTGAACTCGAGATCTCTTTCATGATCGGTAGTAACATATTCTAGAGCCCCTGATTGTGCCTATATAAAGGACATGCATTTCCCTTCCCATATGTTTTATATTGTAAATAAAATTTTGTTCAGCAATGCAGTTTTCATCCAACTCTGTAGTAGCATGAGGTCATGCTGTCACTGTAAATAGCCACCTTTGATTTTTGACTAGGTTAAATAAAGTTTATGGAAGATAAACTGTCAACTTACTATTTGTTCCCTTTTCAGGTAACTTTCTGAGTAGACTGATTAGTACAGGTGCTCACACAGATGCTTGAGGAGTGCCTAGCTAATTAATTCTTCTCCATAAGAAAAGCAACTGCTCATTTCTACTTTTTGCCCATGTTCTTAATGCAATACTAACTTACAAGGAATCTTTCCTCCTGTTTTAGGGATCTTTTTGAGAGCTTTTTTTAAAATCTGAGTATCATCACTCTTATTTGTGCGTCCACCTTTTGTGGACAGTCTTGTACAAATACTGAGAACGAAACACTGTAAAACCTAAGTATGCATATGTAAAATAGAAAATGGGTTCTCTACACTTATTTCACACTTAAAAGAAGCACATGGTTGTTCATTACTGCAGCTCTTGCCTTGTGTAAAGTAGTTGATGATCTTTGAGTTTTTTTAAATTCTCTCTTTTTTTAATTTTGTAATTTTTACTTGCTATAGATAACCTCACTAGTAAACTTTGAAAATAATAAAGGTGTGCTTTTCCCTTTTGGAGACCAAAAAGTAGAATGTTTGCTGTTTTGGACGTAATTGTATAGTATGGTTGTATATCTCTTACGTTAATCCAGGAAAGCAGATTTTGTTTGAATAATTAAGGGGGAAGAAAATGTATCTGAAGTCAGGTGAGAACGGAGTTTTATTTAGAAGTTTCCCAACGAAGTGAAGCTTAAGATCTGCTTAGAAACATGTAAGCCTTTAAAAGAGTTGTTGCAGGAGAGCAACATTCCCCAGTTAGTGAATTTACTAATATGCCTAGCTTATGTTTATTTAAAGACTTCTAAAAACATGCTTACTGAAATGGATTTAAAAAAAAGTTCCAAAGTCTAAATTCATTAAAATGAAGAAATGTGCATGAGAAAAGGTTTCACAGATGATATTAATTACTACTTCCTTGTTTTTTTGGCAAAAATCCTTTAAAAAAATTAGAAATGGCCTAAGTATCATTAGAGAAATCTACATTTGCATTTTTTTCATTTAAAGACTTATCTTTCAGATAATAAGAGTAGGTACCTTGTTAAATCTTTATGCTTATGCTTTCTGATTTCCGAGAGACTGTAAAAGAAAAGGGTATAAATGCCTTAACTATAGCTTAACTTCATCTCTATTCAGCACATTGTTTCATCACTTTGCCCAATAGTGACTCTTTTATGCTTAAATGTAAACAAGAAAAAAATGATGCTATGCCTTGTGTCAAAAATACTGTATTCCTCTGAGCTAAGAATACTAACACTTCTTGCGGGAAGAGGTGGGGAAATACTTGGAAAACAAGAACTTGGAAACAGCTTGAACTAAAAGTTGAATGACTTCCATGACTTTCTCTATTAATAATTGGCTGAGCAATGGTATTGTGAAAGTGACCATACCTTCTTGTTTGTGAAACAAAATCAAATGACACAAAGTAATTTTTTTCTTTGAAAGTTCTTGAAATTTTCTTTTTGACTAACGCTGTTGAACACTAGCTTGAGACTGTAACAAACTCCTGCTACAGAACTGTATGTTGACAGAAAAATTCTGACAGCTTTTTTAATGAAGTGAATCCTAATTGATTGATTAATTTAGATTCTTTTAGGCAAGATGTGCTTTTCTGTCTTCTAAATTAGTCTGAGAGCTGTCTGGCATCTGAATTTTCTTCTCTTTTTCAGGTGGTGCCCCAAACTATTATCCAAATAGTTTTACTGGTCCTGAAGATCAGCCCAATGTGAAGGAGAGCCGCATGTCTGTTTCGAGTGATGTGCAGCGTTTCAACAGTGCAAATGAAGATAATGTGTCTCAGGTATGATGTTTGAAAAGGCTTTGTTCTTCATTTCAGAAGGTAATTGTATAAGCTGTCTGGACAATCTTAAGGTCAGCTCTCATGAGATGGTGGAAGATCTCTGTGCAGCTTCATTTCATGGATAGCAGAATGTTTATTGATAGGACAGTTGTGAATCCTCACAAGCCTTTCTGAGCACTGATATTTAGAGGTAGTGACTTTCACTCTTCCTGTAATTGGCTTCCGCAGATATCCAAAGCAGAATACATACATAATGCCATCACCATCTATTCCTAAATTGCTCACTTGGAGCCCTACAGCACATCTGTTTGTCTTGATTAATTAGATAAGCAACACTGACTTCCAAACTAGAAATGAAGAGGGTTGCTAGCAGGCTTGACAAATACACAAGTTGATAGCCTTTTGAGTTGTAATTTTAAGTGTTGTCTGGCTAGTAAGTGAAAGCTATTCTTTTTCGATAATAATCCTGAAAATGTGTTAACTGTTTTGGGCTGATGGTGGTAGAAAGACTTGCTTCTTAGAATTGCACAGTAAAACTTTGCTTCTAATCAAAAGGTGCGAGTATTCTATACCAAAGTACTGAAAGAGGATGAACGCCAAAGGCTGTGTCAGAATATTGCTGATCATCTTAAAGATGCTCAACTTTTCCTTCAGAAGAAAGCTGTAAGTAGTCTATTCGCTGTTCTAGCCTTTAATCTTTATTCTAGGTTTTCTAATCTGTTAATATGCTGATGGAATGAAAGATCAAGAATTCTTCTTGGGAAGACAATTTCGTGATTTTTTTTTTCTGCAGGAGTTATCAATACAGAACACATTATTTAAATATGCACCAATATTTATATAACATAAATAACATGTAAAATAAAAGACTTTTCTCCCTGATGGGAAGAATGGGGTGAATGTTGATCATCAAGGAAGGAATGATATTTTGACCTTGTTTTTTCAAAAATGAGGTGGCTACCAGTATAATGTTTTTGGTCTAAAGAAGGAAGAGGAGGTGAGGGTCAGGGAGGGATTGGCTCTTTCTCTTTACTAGTAGTATTTTCTTTAATCAGGAAAGAATGACATAATGCAACTCTCATGTGACTTAATAATTTAGGTGGAAAATACTGATAGCTCCTTTCTGGCTGGTCAGAATTAAACTGTTAGTTTTGGGAAAAGTATTGTCATTCTCCTTTTCATCCTTGTGATATGCACTGCTTGCAGGCCATGGAGTAGGAAAGGTAATGAAGAATACATCTGTAGCAGAGGAATAAAGTTCTTGTTGCCTCTTTTGTTCTGCTTGTCTTTCTGTTTAGGTGAAAAACTTTATTGATGTTCATCCTGACTATGGTGCCCGTGTTCAGGCACTACTGGACAAATACAATGCTGAAGTTGGGAAAAAGGTATGCTAATTACTTCTGTAGATGAGTTTTGACTGGCTGAATATCTTAGCTCCTCTTGTATACTCACTGAAGTGAGGAGTCAGTCTTGAGTTACAATTGGTTTACCTGGGAGAAGTCAGTGCATGTAGAACTGTAAAATGGGGAACATCTCTCTGGCGTTTAAATTAAGTGCTAATTAACTAATGATTTACAATAGCTTCGTTTTAGTGGGTTTTCGTAATTGTTCTGGAAGATAACTATAAATGCTAGGCAATGTGGTCAGGTTGGTCATTCAGACCATATGGTTACCTGTTTCCTTTAATGGTAGTGAAACACTTCAGCAGTTTTTTTTCTGGTTTCAGTGTTGGTTATGTACAATAACAAAATCATTGCTTTAAGGTACACGTTTTTTAAGTTTGCTAAACTAGATTTAATGGAATTTGTTCTGAATGTTTCTCTTGCATTGTTTTTAGGATGTAATTAGGACATACACACAATCCACAGCTCGTGTGTCTACCAAAGAAAGATCCAACTTGTAAACCATGCTACAGAGATTTACTCTGTTCTTGAATTTCGCATCCACATAACTGCAGGACAACCTGCTGAAGGCATGCATTGATGAATGTAGCAGACTTCCGCACAAATGTACAAGTGCTTTACAAGCTTGATTGATTAAGTTTCCAAGTGCCTATACCCATACGGGAAATGGAAAGTAACACAAGCTAACAACCCTAGTGCCTTTCAACACTAGTGCTTTAATGTTTGTTAACAATTTATCTTGTTTTTAAGGAAACTTAAAAGTCATCTTCATTTCTAGAAGCAAGCATAAGTATAATCACTGTTTTTTTTTTTAATTGCAAGACTTTTCTGGTTAAATTACAGAATAGAACTTCTATACTGATACTGTGATTATCATTAGGGATCACATTCATGTTAATGAGCAATATCAAATTTATTATTTCTAATAAAATAGAATTGACATTTTGTACTTTTACACATTACATCTGGAAGGCAAAAATGAAATTCAAAGGAAAGTAATACATGTGCAATAATTTGTTTCTTAAAATATTATGTGTTTCTAGTTCCCTGTGGTATAAATGAAGCTAATTAAAAGGTTTAATCTCAATGTGTGTTTTTATTCCTATTCCTAATACCTGTTTTAGGATAATAAAGCTTTGCATATTTACTAGTGCTGGGTGGGTATAACTGATGTGAGATAGGAAAGAGTATTTTCTAACTGCGTACACTTCACAACAAAACTAATTACATCTTAAGAGTCCTTAAAAGGGAAAATTGTCCTTTCTATCTAGTCTGTAAGAATTTAAGTGGAAAGTTTTTTTTAATTTTTCAAGTGTTTGAGGAGTTAACCTCAGCATAAACATTTTTATATTAGCCAAATTCAAGCTCGGGCATCTTTAAAACTGCTCCTTACAGTTTTTGGAATCAATTTTTTTTTTTCCTAGCATAATCTTACATTGCCATTTATTATTCAGATCACAGCTGTTGTCTTCTCAAAAAGTTACACTTTCACTGAAATGGCAGGTTTACGTGTGTGTAGTTTATCAGTGCAAAAGGATATGGACCCTTTAGTTTGAAAAGTGCTTCCTGTTACTGTTTAGATCCAAAGGGCTTTCTTTAGTGTAGTAATATTATCTTCAGTCTTTGAGTATAATTGCCAATTAGCTTTTACAAACTGAGACAAAAAGAAAGTGTTTATATCTGAGAATTTAGAGCAAGGATTGAATGACCATTTTGGAATTTCTGGAGTTATCTTGATGGAGTATGTATAGCGTTGGACTAAAAGATAATCAGCAGCCTCCGAATACTTTACCATAAAAGGGTACAACAAAAGCAAGGCTTAAATTACTGATTTATAAATGCTGAAACCCCACTTTAATTTTTTTTTCCTCCTTAGGTAGTTATTTGGGAAGGATTACTTTTTTTATGGGGTAGTTATGTTCAAGCTGATTGTTTGAGTTTCGGATGAAAACCTGTCATACCAATTGCATGCTGAAGTTAGTCATAACAGACAAAAATGTCTTTATAGTGCGCTTAGCAGGATCAGGCAATCGCCACATCTCAAATCCTGGCAAGTTTTAATGACTGCTTTGTCTGCTATTTTGTCCTCCTCCCTTGCCAAGGGAAAGATCACTGTAAATGTGTAATTAGTCCAGATACCAGTTCCATGGCATCACCTCTACTCTGATATATTTGCTTTTCTTATTTGCCTGCTGATATTGCCTTATTAGCATTTGGATCGCAACAAGCGTGAATGATGATACAAAGAATTTCAGAGCTCAGCTACTAGCTCTCAATTCAAGCAGATGTTATACAAATTTCTCATATCATAACAGCTTACTACTTTTCAATACTGGGGACGTTTGTGTGTCCTTGAACTGAATTTTGAATAGGAATGCTTCCTGTGGTATGTCTGTCTTTTTAGTGTGAATTGGCCTTCTGACAAGTGATGACAGATGGATAAAGAAGAGTTGGTATTAAGTGTTGTTCTGTTAAGTGGAAGCATTGTAGAAAGCTACTTCTACTCAAGCTCATTTATCTGTTAATCTGTTGTGAAAAATTCATGTGCCATGTGATAGATGCAGTAAAGTAGTATAAAATGATAGTCTGCTTTACTGTGTAATTTAGTATTGTTGTACTTCTTATTTCTGAAATAAAGAACTGAATTTAAAACTCCTTGGCTATGTGTTGTCCTGTTTTTGTGAGCATGTGTTTTCAAAGAGGTTATTTAACCTAACATGGTTCATACCTTCAGCTGTCTTTTGGAAATTATGCAAAAGCTGTTCGGGTTTTGGGGAAAGCTGTTCAGGTTTTGGGGGAATAGTCTCTCTTTCAGAAATTACTTATTTGGACTGCGCAGGCCTTGACTGCCAAGAAAGGCCTTGGTCTTGAAGTTGACATTTGCAATGCATGCCTAGGGGCTAAGGACTAAAATGTGCTCAGCTGTGATTTGTCAAATTACTTGTTGGGATCCTCTGTCAGTGATTTATTAAGCCTTCAGAAAAGGGAAGGCTGCTCAGATCTGTAGTAAAATGGTGCCTATGGTTGTGTATGCTGCCTGAATGGGAAGAGATTACTGTCCCACTTTACTGTGGGACAACTTTTGTTGATGACACCTTACTTAAGCCTCTATTTGTTGAAGAACCTTTTGTTATCTTTCATCTAAAATCTTCAGTTGCAAATTACAGAATTGTTGTGAGGCCATCCAGTCTTTAATCCTTAAATTCTAAGGAAGCGGAGTTATTTTTAGTAGTTTAATTTCCATTTCTGCCTGTCTTGTTAAACACTTGCAAGTCTATATGGTACCTTTGGGACATATTTCAAAAGGCTGTCAGTACAGAAATTTATTCTACCATCTATATTACACAAATATTTAGTTCAGTTTTTGACTCTATAAATGACTTCTCTTATATTGCAGCCATTTACTTTTTTTTGTTCTTCTAAATCACTTTTTGCTTCACATGTAAGGAACTGTGGCATGGCCAGGTAAAAGGCACTGGAAGGATGATTATTACTTGTAAATGGTAGTAGTTTAGAGTAGATCTCTACGCTAATATTTGGATGGTGGCACTCAGAATAGAGAGTCAAGCACTAGGTGATGAGGAAGAGTGAGGAAACATGTTATGCCATAATACTGAAAGGACATGTAGAATGGATTGGATAAGGTAGTACCTTCTGCAGCTGTCTTCATTTTAAGCAAAACTATGCTGAAATTGTGAGTTTTTAAAAACCTGACCTCTGAACAGACTGTGATTGGCATTACAAAGTAAAACTGTCTTCATGCAAGACATTGAGGGAGTTGGCCACCCTGGAAGAACAGTAATATCATTTGTTCAAATACACAAGATAAATCCATCTTACAGCTACTTTGAGAATAAAAATGCAGTTTATGTAACATGGCATAATCTCCCTTGTGTATGTAGACTGCATTCTGCTCAAATCAAATACTCTTATGATATGCAGTTGCTGTATAGTTTTCAGCTGTGTTTTAAGGATTGCTCAGCTTCTTCCTACTATCCTTTTAATGTAGGTATACATATCTGTAACAATGGAATTAGGAATAAATTTGAAACTTGTGTTTTGGAAATTACTCAACAGCTGCTCTAGGAGTATCTGTTCTTATAGGTACTTCCTGCTTGTTCCTAGGTTGGTTCCCCCCACCCCCCCCACCCCATCCCAAACCTTTGGACTTGAATAGCTACAGAACATAGCAGATTCCAGTAATTCAGTTTGTATCACAGAATCGTTTAGGTTGGAAGGGACCTCTGGAGATCAAGCAGGGTCCTCTAGAGCATACTGCCCAGGATCACATCCAGACAGGTTTTGAATATCTCCAGCGAAGGAGACTCCACTACCTCTCTGGGCAACCTGTGCCAGTGCTCTGTCACCCTCACAGTGAAGAAGTTTTTCCTCAGGTGCAGATGGAACTTCCTGTGCTTCAGTTTCTGCCCATTGCCTCTTGTGCTGTCGCTGGGCATCACGGAGAAGAGGCTGGCCTCATCCTCTTGACACTCCCCCTTCAGATACTTGTACACGTTGATGAGATCCCCTCTCCATCTTCTCTTCTCCAGGCTGAACAGGCCCAGCTCTCTCAGCCTTTCTTCAGAGGAGAGGTGCTCCAGCCCTCTAATCATCTTGGTAGCCCTCCGCTGGACTCTCTCCAGGAGTGCCATGTCTCTCTTGTACTGGGGAGCCCAGAATTGGACACAGTACTCCAGGGGAGGCCTCCCCAGGCCTGAGGAGCGGGGCAGGATCACCTCCCTCGCACTACTGGCAACACTCTGCCTAATGCACCCCAGGAGACCATTGGCCTTCTTGGCCACAAGGGCACACTGCTGGCTCATGTTTAACTTGTTGTCCACCAGCACTCCCAGGTCCTTCTCCGCAGAGCTGCTTTCCAGCAGGTCAACCCCCAGCCTGTAATGAAAAAAAAAAAAAAAGCCTGAAAAATAAGCCTGAAATTCCTTTCCTGACCCCTGCCAGCTCACTGCCTGATGAAAACCATAGTTGGAAATTGTCTACTAAGCAGCATGTAGGTGTCCATGACCAGTATCCATAAAACCAGTCATGTTGAGTAGGGTAGGAGTCACTTGCTCTACCAAACAGGAGATCTTCTATAGCTATTCTTCATTTCAGAGGAGAGTGCTGTCTGTATGTGTGAAAATCTGATGCATGAATTCTGAGAGGCAGATGTAAGTCACCATTTTCTCGCAGAATGATGTCAAAGGAAGAGTCTTTCCTTGCTCAGTAAAACAAAAGGGGGAAACTGTGGTATATGAGGATTCAAGGCTGTCTTATGGCTCAGAACACTTGAACCCATGTTTCACGTGTGAATGCCTGAGTATATTTTGAGTTGGGGCTCCACTAGTCTTTTGCAACTTTCATTTTATCTACAAGTTAAATAGCTGGATAGGAAGGAGTATGAGGAAAATGTCTCTACTTTCTTACTGTGTGAAAGTTATGGACATCAGTTCTCGATGCTAAGAAAACATTTTGTGGATCAGCATCACAAACAGTGAATGCACACTAGATGTGGACTTCAAGGTGCCTAACTGTTTTACAGTTCACCAAGTTCTAGGATAAGTATCAAGTTTCATGGTTTATGTAGTTTTGAGACCTTACGTGGCTTAATCTGAGGGTTTGTCATGAAGAAAATTTCCTTTCAGACACGCATAGCTTGAGGCTTTGCTAGTAGTTTGGGCCTTCTTATAAAAATGTACTTTCACCAGTGTTAAGACCTGTCTTAGTATCACAAATGGGAATTTCATACAATGTCTGAACAGTTAGTCAAGAGAAATGTCTGCTGCCTCACTGCAGAGCTTTATAGCCTACTTAGGTAGCCTGCATACTGAAAGGAAAAGATGATGGTACAGATTTTTTTTTTTTTCTCCTGAGAATTTATTAAGCTTTTAATCAACATTTAGGAAAGGTAACTACTAGTATTTTGGAAGGGTGAAAACAATGTTCTCAGTGTTTTCTGTTATTAAACATACAAAACCATTTAATGCAAAAGAATTTTACCTTCAAGAGCTATCTATCCCTCCTTTTCAATTTATTCAGAGTCCTCACTCTGCCTGCAGACTTATTTCTGTCTTGTGGGCTTCCCTTTCTTCTCCCTGTCTGGGGAAAAGAAAAAACCAGTTGAGTGGCCTGTGACTATATTTCCCAGTACTAAACAGCCAAGCGCTGAGGAGGCTCATTCAGATCAACATGCGTACACATGACTTGGTCCAGAATTTTATTGTACAGTACAAGTCAGAACAACTCATTAACCAGACTTACATGCCAGAACTCTGCACATTTTAAAAGGCAATAATACCCTAGCCTCACGTCAAACCTTTCTGCACTTTGAGTTTTGTTTGTTATAGGGTCTGGTGCTTCAAACCAATGTTGCCGAAGAGGCTCAATCCAGTGATGCCCTGCATGTTTTTATCTCTTGTTGATACTAGATTACATATAGTAGATAGGCAGTTTGTGCTAAAGCTTGACCTTTCCTCTCAGGCAGTATTCCAGAAGTCAGTCTGAGTCTGTGTTTGAGCTCTTGATTATGTGCAGTTGACACACAGGTCATGACATGGAAAGCTGGATTTGAGCATAGCCTGGACTGAAAAGCTGTTTTAGGCAGAACTGGAAATAGAACCAAGGCTCTATCTTGATAATTATACATGAAATTAAGGCAAATTTGCCAAATTTGTCATTTGTCTCTCAATAATTGCTAGATTTCCACTAGGATCTTGACCTAGAATTGGAGTTAAAGATCTTTATGATCTGTGCTGTACCGCCATCTCACAAATAGTTATGTAAGGTAGTTGCTAAGAATGCATCACACTTCCTTTTTCTGCTGTCTCATAAAGAAGGTGTTGGTGTATTTTCCTTAGGACTGCTGTTTTAGCTGATGTGGAAGTTGTCTGATCAAATATGTGCTTTGAAATCCAGCTGAATGAACATTTTGTTTCAGTTAATTTGAAAAGTGCACAGCTACTAAATATGTTTTACCCAGAATGTCATACTGATGTCTGCAATTACTGAACTTTTGGCTTTACTTACTGTTTTATGTATTCATGCATGCTAGTTCTCTCAAATCCATAATTTAAAAAGCTGAAATACATATTGCTGTGAATCAATATGTATCTTTTGAATATTAGTTCAGTTGGCTTACGGCTTTATTAGAAAGTGTACTTCTTAGGTAAGTCACGTACTAGTGACATCAATATTTCTCCTGCTAAAAGTCATGAATCTTTTTTACTTCCCTCTCCCTCTCTCCTCTTCTCCTTTAGAAGTCAAAAACCTTAACTCTAGAGACAGGATCCTAGTAGGAGAAAAACCTCACAACGTATCAGAAGGACTGAGGCCCTCTTCTTGTTAAGGGTGGTGTTCTCAACTCGAGTGGGAGATCATCCACAACTGTGGGAGTGGCTTATTTAGCTATGTGTAAAAGTTTACAAGTTTACATGGTTTGGGAAAGCTAACCAAGGCTAAATAATGTGACAGTAATGTAAACATGATAGCAACTGAAGTAGCTCAATATTCAGTTCATTGGCAATGATTATGCTCTTACAGCCTGGATTGCTATGTAGAGGTTATATGGTTTAGCATGGTAAAAGCTTTAAACTTTATCATCGTGAGATTCCACCCAAAGTCAAATTTCAACCTTGGTGCAGATGGAAATCTTACTG